GTGAAGAAATGGTAAAACAGAACAACCAGAACACCAATCAGATAACAAGATCATACAATGGTTGTTAACAATGAAGTTATTAACAAATCTGTAGCCTGAGACTCTGAATTGTGAACATGTAAATGCATTGTGACCACAATCTAATCTGTTTTTCTTTTCTACACCCAAATTGTAAAGATTAATAATGTTTTGTAATGTCACTAATGACTAAGCAAACCCACAAAATTAAGTTTTGGAGAAGAGGACTACAAACTGTAAGGGATATAGCTGCAGAACAAAGCTTCACACCTATTCACCATCATCATCCCACTTTGATTGTGGAGCAGTAGCTCAACTAATAAATGCCTGCTTATAAAGCAGGCAGGAAATGATAGTAAAAGAGATAATTGTCTCTAATGAAAAATTTGGGGTTCTAAAGGTTAGGTCACTGATCCAAAATGTAGATATGTTGTTTTCTTCCAATGGAAAAGCTTGCCTTTTTCCAAAAAATAAAAAAAAGTTACTGGTCCAACGAGGGGGTGGGGAGACAGTCTCAATAATGGTAAGAACTACAAAGCATGAATTACTAACCTTTTCACTGTTAACTGCAATATAAATAAAGATGTATTAAATTTTAAATCTAAAACAGATGTTTCAAATGGAACCTGCTTCTATGCACCAACCTTACTGCTTTGAATATGGTCTAAGGGGCAAACTACCTTTAAGCAATTCTTTTTTATTGACTTCTCTCGCCACATAAAAAACAAGGTTTTGAAAACCAGACCGAATTGGCCGATTGAACCGATTGAACTGATACTTGATAGTATAAATGATTCGGTTCCATCTTTTAAACCGTTTGAAGATCAAATCGTTTGAAAACCAATAAGAACCGTTGGAACCGCTCAAACCAGAAAACTGTTCGACCGAACGGTTCAATGCTTGAGAACAAAAGCTTGAGAAATTTGTCCCCATGAAACTTGAACTTGCAACCTTGAAGTCCTTTTAGTTTATTCCAACCCTTTGCCACCAGGACAATGCACTCTATTTGTCAATGGATGCTTGAAATTTTATTTAGTTTATTTCTAAAACCATAATTATTTAAAGTTTGTTCATAAGAGTACTCGAACCTATGATCCTGGGTATGAGAAAACAACCACCTACCATCGCACTCAATGGATATCTTATGAAATGCTTTACAAAATAATATATTTATACTATATAAATGAATTGGCGGTTCTACCGGTTAAACCGGTTAAACCGGTCAAACTGTGAACCGGAGGTCAAAACGGTTTGACCTCCGGTTCAGGTTTTAAAACATTGATAAAAAATGAGGAACGTATTTCTGTCATTGGACTATTGCTAATACAGATTCGTAAGGAGGATGCACATTAATTTCATAAAAAAGCTCATTGTAAGATCTCATTTTGCACCCTTTTGCTTTGCTAATATAGGTTTATCAGTTTGGTATGTTTTCACTTATTCGAGGCATCCCTTTGATGGTTTTAAGGTTTTTTTTTTTTTTGGATAAAAGGTGAATTTTATTTATCCAGTAACTGTATATACACAAACAAGCAGCAATTTGTTGCTGCTACAAAATAAAATGCAGAAACTATTTAATCTATACTATCCTTGCACAACAGCTTCAATCCCCCAATTAATTGCTACGGAGACAGGTAGAGATGACGATTTCAACTTGGAAAAACCTAAAATCCTGTGTTTCACATCAAATTGCACTTCATCACATACTGCCTCTTCTGTTCTAAAGACTTGCTGATGGTTTTAAGTTATAGAATTGTTTGCCATACAAATTTTTTGAAATTGCCGTAAGAAGGAATTCATTTAGTCATTTACTTTCTTCCTGATTTTTGTTGAGAAATATGA